GGCCCTGAGCCGCACAAGGTGGGGCACACGGTGAGCTGTGTGTTGCCCAGTGGGACATTGGCCTGGGGCTGAGGAATGTGCAACTCTCAGAACGCCCGACTGGGGGGCAACTCTTCACTAGGCTCTGGCTCATGTTTTCCACAAGACTTTTCATCAAGACTCGGGGACCTCCACCCTATATTAACGCTGATGCTTCCTGGGGACCCCGAGGAAAGGCATAAGCAAGCGGCGCGCGCACAGGCCCCTGGGCACACAGACGCCAGGGCCTGGGGTGCCTGGGGAGAGGGCGCTGCCTGGGTGCACCCCTCCCTCAAGACCAGCGCACCTGGGGAGGGCCCACGCCCCACTGGTCAGCTCAGGGCTGCACGGCCCAAGGCTGGACAAACCCCCCCCCCCAGCTCCAGGGTGTGGACGTGAGCCAGTGCCCCGCTGAGTTTCGGGCACAGTGGGAGCGGCTTCGCTAAGAAGCCTGCAGCGTCCACCGGGCCAGAAACGGGACACCGGGGCGCCACGTGTGTGGGGAAGCTGCTGCTCCCCGGGGCCGCCGGCACAGCCTGCACTGTGGAGGGCCCCGATGGCCCCTCTGTGGCCCCACCCGCACCCACCTCGCCGGAGCCCCAGAACGCACGTGCGCGGGGCCCTGCCTGTGGACACTGGACGCAGCGCGCAGGAGCTGGGTGTGGGGCCGGCGCAGCAGCGAAGAGGCTCGAGCCTACCGGGCAGACGAGCCAGACAGCGGATCTGCACCAGCCGTCAGAGAGGGAGGTCGCGCTTGCGGGCACAGGCAGCTCCGCGGGGCGGCCAGCGCCTCATGGCCTGGTCACCCCCACAAAGACACTCAGTGAGTAAGGGGGGACGGCAAGGCTGGTTCTGGCTGGGAGGGGTGGAGAAGCCTGGCCACTCCAAATGCGTTTCAGGGTGGGTGAGGGGAGACCCTGGAGTCCAGCCTGGCACGCTCTTATTCACCTGCCTAAAGAGAATCGACCCCCAGAGGGCGTGCCGGCTGGCCACACGGCTCAGCCTGGAGGCCCCGCACGAGGGTCACCAGACCGCCTGCGTCACCCCCAACCGGCAACCTCACTGCCTCTTCTTGTCCTCCTGCCCATGCACACGAGGGTCTAGAAAGCCCTTGGGTCCAGGTTCCCATCTTTCTCATCTACTCAAAGCATCAAAAGGTCTCTGATCCACGATATTTAAAAAAGGAAATGTCGTGAGGAGTACACAGAACCAGTCTCTCTCTCTCTCCCTTCCTGAGTGGTTTATTTGCGCGGGACTATTTCGGAGGTGCAGTAAAAGTCCTGCGTGCAAGCTGGACACTCAGGCTCACATCTGCAGATTGATCAGAAACACACAGAGGCCCCAAGTCCCGAGCCGCTTGGGCGCAGGGATGCAGCACGACACCGATGGCTTGTGCTTTCTGGGGTGCTGGTCTCTTGGGGTTGCCTAGGACCAGCCTGCTGCCCGGGAGCCCCTCCCCACTCAGCCGGGCCTCAGGCTCCACACTGAAGTGATGAGGCGCGGTGTGCGCGCCAGCTGCTCAGCTCACCCGCCAGGGCGGGCCTGCAGGGTCAAGGAGGCCTCTGGTCACTGCCCTTCCCTCCTTGCACCCGGCTATCATGAGTCCATCCGTCCCGTGAGCGCTGTGGCAGCTGGCCCTGGGAGAAACAAACACCCCGCCCTCCGGTGCTCACAGCCCAGCAGACAGGCGGTCACTACACCCGTGGGCACCAGGCACGATGCGAGCCCAGGAGGCATCCTGCCAGCCTGAGGGGCCACTGGCGACTCTGGCGACCATTTCTGCAGAAGAGCCTGAGGCTGGATCTCGGCTTCCTCCCAACATCCGCAGCCACTGCGCCGTCAAGCTCCCTCCCCCACCACCCCACCCCCAGACCATGCACTAGAAGCCCCGGCAGGGCAGACCCGCGCACCTGGCACCCAGACTCAGACATTTGGACGTGAGAGGTGCCCTAGGTGTGAGTCGGGGGAGTGAAGAGAGTCGCTGGCACAGCCCGCCTCTCTGGCAGGCGGTGGCCCTCCGCTGCCGCGCCAGGTCTCCGTCTATGCTTCTGCAGGGAGTGCCTTTGACGAAGTGTTAACTGGCGCTGCACCATGTGGTGACAGGTCCACTTTCACATACCCTGAAACTGACCCCGCTCCATGTCCATGCGCCGGCCGGCACTGCCCGCATCTGTGCATCTCAACACCACCCCGAGAGACCAAGGCGCTGCTCTGCTCCGACTTGGAGACAAGTCCCGACCAGACAGGCAGGCCCGCCAGGCAGACCCCTGGCCTCTCGGCCCCAGGGCTGAGGGAGGAGACTGGTGAAGCGAGTCAGAGGCTCTTGCGCTGGGAACACACGTCGCGACGGCAGTGAATGGCGGAAGACCACGCAAGGGCGCGGCGCACACGGCGCTGCAGAGCAAGAGCCCGCGCTCTGCGACGTCCGGTGCACGCTCTCAGCCGCCTACAGGTGCAGCCACCGTCCCAAGCCAGGTACCGCTGCTCCGGGCCCCGGGTAAAGAAAGCCCCAGGCACACGAGGTCGGGTCCTCGCCGCAGGAGGCCTGGACACCCGGGGGTAAAGACGCAGACAGAAGGGCGAGGAACCTGGGTGCAGGAAACACGGGAGCCGCAGGCCAGGGGCTGGCGGCGGGGCGGGCGGTCCAGGAAGACCACCCAGAAGTGCCACCAGGAGGGCCGGGCTGAGAGGGCCTGTCTCAGGTCCCCTGGCACTGCCCGCACGCACCCGCGATGCCCGCAGGGCATGCTGGCAAGCCTGGGGCCGCACGGGGATGGCCCTCCCGTCCAGTGCCACCGTCAGTGCCCTCCGGGATGCACCACACCCGCTCGTCTGTGGCCAACGCCCAGGGACCCTCCTCCGTGCCCTGGCCGGCGTGAGCGCATGGCCCGGCTCATTTCAAAGAGCCACGTTGTGGCTTCACTGCCACCATCGGCTCTCTGCGTCCACCCGTTCCTGCGGTGCTCATCTGCTTCCCCTGATGGCGCCCTGTAAGGCCGAGTCACACCGCCGAGGAGCCCCGCTTGCTTGCGCCTTGCGCCTCGAGCCTCTCCGCTGCCGGTCTCCTCTGGCCGCCCGCCGGTGCTGACAGCTGAGCTCCGTGCCGGCCCTCGGGAGCTGTCCTCCGGCCCTCACCGTCCCGACAGCGGCCGTGTTCCCTCCGCGCCCCAGGGCGAGCGCGGGCTGCGTCTGTGTTCATGCTCCGGTCTGGAGCCTCCTGCCCAGGGCAGGTCTCGGCCCGCCCCATCCGCCCCGGCGCGGGGAAAGCTGCTGGAGCTTTTGCTGGAGGTCGCGTTGCCGTGTCCGCCGGTCGGGCAGGGGCAGCTTCACTGGCCACGTCCAGAGAGGAGCGGGATCGCCGGCGGAGGTGCGGGCTGCCCGGCTGCGGGGGTCCGTGCGCGCCCCTCAGCAGCGCACCGTCGGGGCACCCAGCTTGGGCGGTGAGGCCTGCCCCGGCTGGCTCTGCCCGAAGCCCCTTCTGACGGGGTGCGCCAACTGCACCCTCACCGAGGCTTTGTTCAGGGCCTCGCTTTCCCATCCCTCCCGTTAGCCTGCGGATTTTACACTTGAAGCCCTCTGAGACGCAGGGCTGGAACACCGCGGGCGGCCGGGGCCTGGGCGGGGGCCACACCAAGGCTTCGCTGCTGGTCCAAGACCCGCCCTCTTGTTTTGTTTTCCCTTCCTCTTTTTTCTTTCTTCTTTACTGCCTTGACTTTCATTTTCTTGAACTTCTTAGAATTCAGTTTTAGTTTATTCTGTTTCTGACTCTTTCTGGGCGAGCGATCACTTCACTCTTCCTGATCAAACTGGCACCCAGCGTTCGCCCGTCAGGCTTCCACGGCGCCGGCTGGCGCAGCCCGACCCCCGGCGGGCATCCTTACACTGGGCGCGGGAGCAGCGTGCC